TTACATCAGAGGAAGATTTTAATAGATTAAAATTTGTTGAAATGATAAAGGCTAAATGACCAAACACAACAGAAAACATTATCATAAATAATAAATCACTGAAATATTTTTCTATTGAAACTGTAAATAAGAAGCGAGGACTATTTCTCATTAACCAGCATGGCAAGGGGAGCAAACCAGAGTGGAACTGGTGGGGAATGAGGAAAATACAGCATAAGAGAAGACACAGAAATGAAAGATGGGATCAGGAGGGGCTGACTGTGCTGATGACTACAGCCAGCACCAAATCACAAAATCAGCTTCATTTTATAGTATCTTTATAGGGTTGTCCAGGGGGAAGTAGCATAGACAATTTGGGAAAATAGCATAAACAAAAGACATAGTTTTAGTGTTACAGTACAAGAGGAAAATGTAAATAACTATAACAAAGATAAATCATCTTGTTAATGGTTTCTACTCAACTTCATTAACATATGACAAGAAGCAAGAAGGGAAAGATCAAGAGGACTCAGCATAGTTAACAAAATAAAGGAAGAATTATGTAACTTAGTGGTACTTTAAACTTGGCATGAAATTTGCTTGCTGCTTAAGAAAATTATTATGGTGTTTGATCACCTGATCCCTTGGGTCACTTAACAGTCCAAACCGGCTATGGTTTGTAATCTCACCATTCAGAAGATTGTTTTGCTATCTCATGGATTTTAACTACTTCTGCTTAGAAATATACATGACTTCACATCAGATTCTATTGTTGCAGGAAGCCGAGGCCCAACGGAGAGAAAGAGCACCCAAACACCATAGTTATAAGAGGAAGGGCTTTATTCATTGGCCAGGAGCTTATGGCATAGAAGATTTCCAAATGGCCATGCTCTCCAACTGGCTCGGTCTTTCCCTTTTTATTGACAGTCAAAAAGTTCCACCCCACAGGTACCCTTCCCATTGGCCAGTTTGAATCAAGTGAGAGATGTTACTCCAGCCTCTACAGAACTACAGGATTTCACAGAACTTGGAAATTTCCAGGTTCCAGGATGTTAAGCCTATAAATTCCCAAGAACTGAGTCACCATGGAGAGGGCCCTGCAGGTGTATCCTTGTGGTCTCCCTGAAAAGACCTGTTCTCCCAGACCTCGTCCCTCTCTGGTATCTTCTCTCACTATGGCTGGCATTTGTCCCTAATCTCACTTAACTTCAAGGGAACCCAAAATTGTAGAGTGTGTTATAGTTTGTTCAGACTATTATAACAAAGCACCTGGACTGGATAATTTATAAGCAATAGAATTTTATTGGTCACAGTTTTAGAGATTAGAAAATCAAAAGGTTAAGTGAGCAGATTCAGTGTCTGGTGAGAGTCTGTTCTGCTTCATATATGCATGTATGTAGTACACTCCAGCTATATCCTCGCAACATGGAAGGAGTAAACAGACTGCCTCAAGTCTCCTTTATAAGGGCAAAAATTCTATTCATGAGGGCAGAACGCTCATGACATAGGCACTTCATGATGAAATTTGGAGAAACACAAACATTCAGATCACAGCAGAGAGGGCATGTGGATTTCATAGAACAATAAATATGTCTGACATTTCTACTTGGGTTTTTATGACCTTGGCAAGTTACATCTTCTTAAATTCAATTGCTTATCTTTTAATGGGCTGCCACAGAAGACTGTACTGACATCATTAAATACAACTGAATGAGCTTGTACAACTTCCTGAACTTTCCACAGTCTCAGTTTTTCTCTCCAGTATGACATTAATACTCTTGATAGGACTACAGAAGTTTTAATTATTTTAGTACACTGGCTGAAGTGCAAAGTAAATGCTCAAAAACTCTGAGCCATCTCCATGATCCTTTTATAACTGCAACACAGTTAGTTTTATTCACCAATAAGTGTAATTGTAGCACGAAAGTAAAAGTAGTGTATGTCTGTCTTCCTTCCCCAAATCTCACAATACTTTTAAAATATTCTGTTTGTTCTTCTCTACTCTAAGATTTGTTATTTGATGCCCATATTGACTTTCCTGTATTTTCAAATGGTCTTTTGTTAAAAAACAAAGTATTCCACACCTAAGAATTGTGCAATAAATGCTTATTTATTAACTGCCTAGCAACGTAATAACTGCTGTTGGATTTGTTAGAACTTGCTGGTAACCAGTTGTTAGCATCACAAAGCTCTCCTTTGTTTTTATGCTAAGTATAATTATTTGGTAACTACCTACGAAATAACAATGTAAGCGGTGGAATTTGTGATCTGGAGATTAGGTACCACTTTATGACAGAGTTTAAAAGTGACTGTGAAAATTCAGTGTCTGAATGTTCCCAAAGTGTATTTGCTGTGTTGCCAAATTAGAAAGAGCATCAGGGAAAGATCATGGGAAGAAAAACAATTTTGTTTCTGATTATAGGGGTCCTTTGGGGATATTACATTTATATTCCTCTCCCAGATAATATTGAGGAACCTTGGAAAGTGATGCAGACAAACACACCTGTGAACATTATAACCAATGTGGTAAGTTCTGAATTTAATTACTTCTGCAGATATTTAAATTTACTCCGGAGAAAATAATTACCTGTTTTCTTTTTTTTTTTTAATTTCTACTCTCTTGGAAATGTTGCTTTTAAAGTTTGCTTGCCAGTTTTAAAACCTTTAAGGAATACAGTACCTTTATTCCTTAATGCAGACCTCTCACAGAATGAAGATAAAGAAAATGTTCAAGTAGTCTTAACTGAATTAAGTAGTCTTAATTTTAAATAGTAAGAAATGAAATATGTTGGCTAAGAAAAACAAATAAAAGTCTTATTGTGAGTTTCAGGGCATGAACACGGCCAGAAAAAAGCATGTCTGAAGTCTGAACTTCAGATGAGGTATAATTGAGCAGTACTATGAGGGGTTATATGACATTCTTGGTGATAATCTTGGATTCAGATTTGAAAATTTATTCTATCTAAAATATTCTAGAAAAAGGTCAACTGGTGGGCCAAGGGAAACAAGGTGCAAAATTTGTTAAACGGTCAACAGCTGAGATGACAGGGAAGCTGGCTTGCCGGCTGCCCACCAGTGTCCATGCTGGCCTCAGAGACCTTTGGTTCTTTCACAGTGAGACTAATTGCTAATTAAGAAATGAAACCATACATTATTTCCTTTAAACTTCTTTGTAGCAAATTACCTCCCACTAGCAAATAATAATCATAATAATTGTTATTATTATTCAGGGACACTTAGCCTCGGTATTAAATATATGGTTCATTATCTATTTCCCTGGATTTTTTTCAGGAGTTTCAAAACTCTCTTCTGGTATTTAATGCTCCAAATAAGTGTGATACATGCCTTATTTTCATTTTCTTGTTAGGTATCTCATCATCTTTAGGAACTGCATTAGCACATACCATTAGCTCTCCATAAAGGTGGTTTTCAGATCCCGTATGTAATGCATTTTTGATCTACTAGTTTAGTTGAAAAAAGATTCCAGGGTGGTGCCTGTGGCTCAGTGACTAGGGTGCTGGCCCCATATACTGAGGGTGGCAGGTTTGAACCCGGCTGCAGCCAAAGTGCAATTAAAAAATAGCCATGTGTTGTGGTGGGTGCCTGTAGTCCCAGCTACTCAAAAGGCTGAGGTGAGAGAATCGCCTAAACCCAAGAGGTGGAGATTGCTGTGAGCTGTGACACCATGGCACTCTACCGAGGGCAACAAAATAAGACTGTCTCTTAAACAAAGAAAGAAAGAAAGAAAGAAAGAGAGAGAGAGAAAGAAAGAAAGAAAGGAAGAAAGAAAGAAAGGAAGGAAGAAAGAAAGAAAAAAAGAAAAAAAAAGTGGACCCAAGCATTATAAACCCATTTTATTCAAGGGTCAGCTGTACGTTGCTGGATTTGGGTCAGTTTCACTAGAATATAGCTTCAAGTCTTATCTTTTAAAAGTTATTCTTGAATTATATATAAGATATTTATTTTGATTCATTGTTTTATTCTGAAATATTGTGTAATGTATTTTGTCTTCTCTATAGCAACTTTTTTCTAGTCTGTTTTCTTCATGTGTTAGAGATTGTTATAATTTTTCATATGCTATGTAGAACCTTACATGAATGGTATGTATGCCACTTTTATTTATGTATATTAAAATATATATTATATATAAAATTTTATTTCCATATTGCTGTTATTTATATATACAGCTAATTTACCCATCAGTCTATACATATAGATAGGTAGATACAGATTTTAAATCCTCCTTTATATTTTCACCTGGCATGAGTGGGCAGGGAAATGTGGGCCAGCCATAGGAAACAAGAACCCTGCTGGACCCTGGGCTGGGTTTCTGCCTAGTCTCTCATACCCAGGAAAGTTCTACAAATACAGAGGGATCTTTGACACCCATGTCCTGTGTCACCCTTTCTTTTGGGGGACTTTTCTAATGATGGTCACTAAAGGGCAGCATATAGCTGGTTGGAAGTGACCTCTGGCTCCAGGTTCAGATTTGGGCTAAAGAATCTCATGGGAGCACTTGCTGTCTTTGTGGCTTAATCTCTTTCATCTTATTATATTCATCTACAAACCTGGGACTATATTACAATTTACCAAGTTTCAGTGAGAACTAAATGAGAGCGTGCATGTCCAGCAAATACGTGGCAAAGTCTCTATAAACATGGGAGCCTTTTACATCTTTCTCCGTACAATTGCCAGCATTATTACTTTAGGATTGTGATTTTACTTCCAGACACAATCATATGAAAATTTTTCCCAGCTAAACTTTAGCAATATTGAAAAAAATACTAAAAATAGTACCCCTAGTGACATTGTGGAAAAATAAAAGTTTTATGGAGATGGACATGTAGACATTGAGACAGGGATGGGCATAGATGTGCATATGAAAACGGATTTGGCCACAGATTAGATATAGATTGAAATAAATATATCACTCAGTAAAAATACCTAGATTACACTATGTAAGTGAATATGTATCATGAAGTTTTTAGTATCTACATCTTTCTATCTCCCTGTTAGTTAATTTCTTGCTACCTTTTATCATTTCCTTTTTTTTTTTTTTTTTTTTTTTTTTGAGACAGAGTCTCACTTTGTTACCCTTGGTAGAGTGTTCTGGAGTCAAGCTCATAGCAACCTCAAATTCTTGGGCTCAAGTGATACCTTGCCTCAGCTTCCTGAGTAGCTGGGACTACGGCACCTGCCACAATGCCCGGCTAGTTTTGGAGATGGAGTCTTGCTCTTGTTCAGGCTGGTCTCAAACCTGTGAGCTCAGGCAATCTACCCTCTTTGGCCTCCCAGAGTGCTGGGATACTGTTTCTTTTAATTACAACTAACTTTTTAACTTCAGGAAAAAAAAAATCTAATAACAACTCCTAAATACATATCTATATTATAACATTCTTGATTTGGGATGAAATTAATCTGAGACCATATTAAACTAAATAATAATAACTAGAAAAGATCCTTCAATATATACATTAGAAAAGTATGGACAGATTATTATGTAGTTTAACTCAAAGATAATACTTTGAAATGCTTACAATTTAAAAAATATTACTGGTTTAAGTAATTTATTTACCCATTTTATTTAGTTGTACATATAAATATCATAGATATATCATCTATTTTGCTGTTGGCTATTTATAACACATTAAGCTGCTTGTTAATACTCCTAAAGATAGGTTGTGTTCTGACAACGGCTCCTTGCAACATAGCCTCAACAGAGATTCCCCGGAATAATCTAAACCATTTAGCCCAAAGAAGTTAACTTCCAAATAAAATGATTTTGCTAATACTGTGAAATTCCTTGTCTTTGTTCAAGTCTTTGCTCTTGCCTGTTTTTCCAAATCTAAAACTTTTAAGCCCAGTTTTTCAGAGCCAATGGATTAAGATCAAATAGGGCATTCATCAGAAATTTTGTTGGTCAGTTAGAATTGATCTTACTTCTTTTCCTACTGATCTTGAACCCTATTCAAGATCTTTCTCATTCTGCTTTGTATTAGAGTGTGTTTATGAGTAGAGTAGAGCTTATTCATAGTCTGTGAAGGTTAGTAACTGTATCACAAGCATCTTAAATCCATCATGGCTTCTAGCACAGTGTTTTGCATACAGGAGGCATTTAGTCCAATTTATTCAGTCATAACATACTCTCCTACATTGAAGACTTGCTCTTTCTTAGAAGAAATTAGACTTCAGGGACTCCTCAAAGGTTGGCCAAAAGGGTTTCTACCAACTTATCTCTGAGGTCTTTGAAGTGGGGGTTAATGTCCCCAGTGCAACTAAAGGGGACTCATCAGTGAACTTGCCAAGCCAATAAACACGCAGGTTAGCAAAAAGTAACTTTAATGTGTCTTTTCCTTTAAAACCTCCAGAGAAATTGTGTTCTCTAATCTTTCTTAAATGCATCTATTCCTGAAACTGGTTGTTACTGCTTCTGCTAGGGGAGGCTTGATGAGATTTGGGAGTTCAGAGTGTTCAGGTATAACAGAATCCATGGAAATGTTTCTAATCCAGTGCTAAGAATATTATTTAGAAGTGAATGTTAGACCAATTTAAATCTCAACTAAGACATTCAGCAAACCTGTGAATTTACTTTGCATTGCAGTTCCACAATCTGCAAGATCAATCGTTGGTTCTATTTTCAGACAGAGATGCAAGAGATAAAGCTTTTCTTTCAGGAAATGTATTGTGGTTATCTGCTATTTTGACTGTGATTTCAGATAGAGAATGCTAAGGATGTAATTTTTTGTTTGTTTGTTTGTGAATCCTTCTAAGTACAGTGGCTGCTTGATGTCATCATTTTCTCCATAAAATTTTTAAGCAGTAGTTACTGGTCTTTTAAAACTCTCCCTTAACAGAAACTACGACAAGTGTTGAAATAACTATTTTGCTATTCCACTTCATGCATTAACAAACTCATTTTACACTAGCGATTGAGGTCATTATTGTTTTTATTTTATCATCATCATTATTATTATTATTAAGACAGAGTCTCACTCTATCCCATGGGTAAAATGTCACAGCAACCTCAAACTCTTGGGCTTGAGCAATCCTCTCGTCTCACCTTCCTGAGTAGCTGGGACTATAGGCATGCACCACACCACCCAGCTAATTTTTCTATTTTTTTAGTAGAGACAGGGTCTCACTCTTGGTCAGACTGGTCTCAAACTCTTGAGCTCAAGCAGTCCACCCGCCTTGGTCTGTCAGAGTGCTAGGATTATAGGTGTGAGCCACTGCTCCCGGCCATCATTATTGTTTTTAAATCTACTAGGTCAAATACCTAATTCCAGCACATCTTCAATGTTCTCTTTTTTTGAAAACACCATCTAGACTATATTTTCAATTATTATTTTGTCAGGACACAGCCCCTACTATACATATCTCAATAGGATTTGATTCAGAATACAGAATTTGAGATACACAGTCTTTAGAATTGGGGAATGAAGTAAGTTGACAATAATTGCAGCTTCCTGCACTACATCAGTAGTAATTCTCAGGAGGACAATAAGAAGCAGTGAAAGCCAAGTGTTTGTGAATGTCCTGAATACCAACAGTAGCACAGAGAAAATAATTTACTCTATAATTACACTGGCAAGGAGTTCTGGGAACTGTTTTCCCTGACTTCCCTTTCAGAAATGTGGTGGGGATGATTCAGTGCTGAAAATAGACAATGTTGCCTACCTACCCCTTTGCATGTGTTTCATCTTTGTATAATGGGAAACAGGTTGGTTGATCAAACAGGTGTATTGATCATCTAGCTCCATAGTCTCACATGTTTCTGATTTTGAATTGAAACAATCTTTTTGATTCTTAGAGTTCCCACATTACATGTCTCTTATGATTTGGCTTACTTTTACCTCTTGAGGTCCCTTTTCTTTCATGCATTCCTATTTGGTCCTGACATCATAGCTCTACTAAACTACATGCATTTAAGGAATGCCCCTAGTCTATTCCTTTGGCCTCAAATGAGATTTCTTCCTTTAGCCAAACTCTACTCTCTTTTCAGTACTCATGTCAGAGTTCGCTTACTGTTTGAAAACTCCTGCCCAATTCTCACATCCTGGCAATTAGTAGACTAACTGACCACTGCCAAAGATCTTTATATGTATCTGTGAGACATGCGGTTATGTTGCTTTGTAACTGCTCATAGATCCATTTCTCCCATTTGACTCTGAACTTAAAGAACTTGCCTTGTTTGTCTCTGGACTCAAACTATGATATTTAGCATAAAATCTGTCAGCTTGTAATCCTCAACAATTTTCTTTTTTTAACCTGAGGCTACTATCGTGGTAACACAGCTAAACCTCCAGTATTTCTAACTCAGCCATTCAGATTCATCCTTGAGGATATGACACAAGACCCTAAAGAACACGTATGTGTACCTTTATGTTCATAAGTAATGCTGGCATTGGATATTTGTAATATAGTTATTTTTTCCCTCTCTGGGTCTTCTTTTAGGCTTTGTTTGCTGAACTCTTGGGAATCAGCCATTTCATAGACACTCTACATTTCTTGATGAGCTTTCAAGACGTTCCACCTACATCTGATGAAAATGTCACCGTGTTGGAGACAACTTTCAACAAAGTTCCTGTTCGTGTATATGTGCCAAAGCGGAAGGCAGAGATGCTACGAAGGGGTTTATTTTACATTCATGGTGGTGGCTGGTGTTTGGGGGATGCAGGTATGTGTTCTTTGTTGAAAGTTTTAGTTAATCACACAACGTACATTTTATTGAGATGTTGACTTCAACACATCAGGACATGTATGCCCGATAACAAAGCATTTCAGCTGCCTAAAATTCATTCCTTTGAAGCTATGTTGCTTAAAGAACTATTTTAAATCTTTTTCTCAAAGAGGGACAAAAATCAATATCAAAAGCTGTAGCAAATCTCAGGTAAGAAGCATTTGATGAATTTAGAAATGTATTATTAATAGCATATTGATGGAATGTCACACTAAAAAACAGAAATGAAGGGAGTTCAATAGTGGTTAAAATATGAGGGAATAGAGATATTGATGCTAACTTTTCACTAAGTTTATACTTAAAGGTAATGAGAAAGAAGGTGTTAGGGCTCCGCGCCTGTGGCTCAAGTGGCTAAGTCGCCAGCCACATACGCCTAAGGTGGCGGTTCGAATCCCCAGCCCGGGCCCACCAAACAACGATGGCTGTAACCAAAAAATGGCCGGGCGTTGTGGCGGGCACCTGTGGTCCCAGCTACTTGGGAGGCTGAGGCAGGAGACTCGCTTGAGCC